TTAATTGGGTCTTTAAATTTTAGGGATCTAATGTTTTGAGTTCTTTGAATATTCTAGATGTGAATCCTTTGTCTGAGGAATAGCTGACAATCTTTTCCCCAGTCTGAATGTTGTCTCTTCACTCTGCTGGTGGCTTCCTTTGTTGTGCAGAAGTTTTAAAATTTGATATGATAACATTCTTTCATATTATTTCTTGTGCATCTGGGGTTTTCCTCAGAAGCTACTTTAAAAATGAAAGTCATCTCTATCTCTTTACCTCTTTCATACATAGAGCCCTAAGTAGAATATTTAATGCCAGCAGAGTCACTTAGTATATAGATAAAGTAACAGGAAGGACTGCAAGTCACAGTCTTTGGAAATAGAAGAGTTTGTTCATGTGCGGTTATTCAGGGAATTTAAAAATAATAGCAACAAAAGCAAGAGAATGCAGTAACACCAGTCAGGAACTGTATGACGGCAGTTGTACTGGTGGCTGTTTGAACACATTTTAATCTAGGTCCCCTATGGCATAGTATGGTGCTTTTTGTCATCTAAGAAGCCCTGAAAAGATAAAAGTGTGTCCAAACTCTTTCATTTCTACGAAAGTTTCAAATTGTAGTTCTCAGAGAAACGTTTGGTTTTCCTCACATGTAAACTAAGTGTAATTTAGGCAATGGGGGTGTTACATAATGTCTTTGATTAATGCAATGATTTAAACAAGGTAGATGTTCAAAATGCAGTTTTTGGCATTTTTGTTTGTTTTGTTTGAGGCAGGGTCTCACTTATTTTTCAAGCTGGCCTTGAAGTTACTGGGTAGCCCACACTGGCCTCAAACTCATGATGGTCCTCCTGCCTCAGCCTCCCAAGGGCTGGGACTGCAGGTGTGTGCCACCATGCCTGGCCCACTCAAAATATAATTTAGAAAGAATGAGCCTAGAAAATTTGGTTAGTGTACATGGTTGAATTCGGGTAACCCAAGCTTAGAGGAGAAACTACATATCCAGAAAATAAATCTTCAATCATTTTATTATATATAATATATATATATCATATATGCTATATTCTTTGCTTTTAAGGAAAAAGTATGAAAGTGAAGGTATAACAAAATGAGCAGTGGGGAATTATGACCTTTTGTGATCTGTTACTTACTTATGTAAGTTATTTATGTGATCTAATGTTAATTTCTTACATTTCTTGCGTTTGCTGGTGAGTGCACACTTGCTCTGTGATTGCAGATAGCAGGTGAGAAAACAACTCCAACACGAAGGGGAGAGAGCAGAGTGTAGCATGGAGAGGGAAGCTCTTAACGTTCCCAGCAAGTGCGTCGGGAAGTGTGGGCAGATGGTGTTTTCTCCACGTCTCCGTGCTCTGTGGTGGCTGAGACGGTCCATGGCGTGAAGTCTGGGCGAATACAAATTTGCAGAGCAGCTAGAAGAAAAGTAGTGTTCAGATTTGAGAGACAAAGGAGAAAGCTTCGTGGTCTCCAATATTCCTCCTAGCTTCTGTGGCCGTATTGCTGGGCGCTACAGCTTTTGGTTCTTACTCATTTTGCATTGCCTATTTTCCTGTTCAGTTCAGTGTGCATTGACTCATCTGACACCGAAGGGTTTCTTCTGTCTCCAGTTAGCTCTTGCGTTCAGAAGAGAAGCAGATGAAGAATGGGCTGCAGGGAGAAGGGAGTCGGTCCTAGAAAGCTTTGGTGAACGGTGCCAGACGCCTCTTTGGCCTCCTCATGTCTCTGCCCAGACGTTTGCTCCCCACGAAGCGCGCTGCAGTCACCTCATTGAAGTGGGCCCAGCCCTCCTCCTCGTCTGGGCCCCCACTCTGTTCTCTGCCTTGTGGCCTGCTTCACTTCACAGCATACTATGAATTTGGTTCTATGTTTGTTTCTTTTTATCTGTTTCATTCACTGATATGTTAAAAGTGCTTACAAAGGAGCTGGAATGTAATAGGCATTCAAATATTTGTGGTAAATTTTCTCCTGTAGAAATAAAAAGGAAAGAAAGAAAGAAAAGATTTTTTTTTTTAAAAGAGAGTAACTCGGTATCTCTAAAGATTTCTGAAATAGTCGTAAACATTTAACTTTGTTTGCTGTACACAGTGATTGTACTCATTGTGGGGAGTTGGTACACTTGCATAACACATTTTTTTTTCAGCTTTGAGTTTATTGGTACGTTTTAGGGATACAGTACAGTTCCATTCATTGTTGGGATCTTGTACCTCTACATGACAGGTCTTGGTTCTCATTTTTTCCCCTTGTCCCTGCCCTCCCTTCACCTCTCCTCTCCTCCCCATCTACAAACACTTTATTTTCATCTTTTCATTCTCTCACATTTTTTTCTTTTCCCTTATTACATAACACATTTTTAATACTTCAGTGTGAGAGTTCTAAGAAGAGTTCTGTGATGCTCTGCAATTTGTCTTTCAGTCTCCTCCGGAAGCAAGTTGAAGAGGCTCCTTTCAGGAAGAAGAGAGAGCTTAAACAGGATGAGGGAGACGGAGAAGGGAAGGTGGAGGGTCTCGCCTCACTGTTCGGGGCTCCCTGGGGAAGGGCTTTTCCTCCAGTTTGTGCCGCCTGTTATTCTGCATGCATCTCACTCATTTAGGGTTGTGAGGGATTTTTTTTCATAAAAACTAAATCTGCTACGGAAGTTTATGTAATTGTGTTTATTCAGGATGGAAGAAAGAAAAAAGCATGGTGAACACATAATTTACATTTTATTAACATTTATATTTTACTAATATATCTTAAATCACAGGCAACAAAATCACAATTTGTTGAGTACTGTTCTCTCATAGTAAAATTTAAAAGGCAAGTCTTGATTCTCATGACTTGTCATGTAGAGGTACAAGATGCCAACAATGAATGTAACTGTACTGTATCCCTAAAATGTACCAATAAACTCAATTAAAGCTGAAAAAAAATTTAAATGGAAAAATAGCAAAAACTAGGATATCTGTCTTTAAACCAGCAAGTCCATTCTTAGAAGTTTATTCTGTTTTTTACCTCATAATACAGTCAGCTTCAAATAGGCTCATCAGAACACCTTTAATACTATGGGAAAAATGAAACCTAATTCTTGCTACCCAGACTCCAGATGTCCCTAGGGCGCAGTTGTACGCAGTCACGCTGCAGAAATGCATTGATTGCCATGGGAACATGGCTGTCAGATGCCGACGCAGTGTGTCACATAAGCCAGTACTTTCAAGCGTGTATGCCTAGAACGCATTGCCAGTGGTTATTTTACGGCAGGGGAGTATTTTTCTTGTTGCTTTTCCTTTTAACTACGTCATGTATTTTTACAAGTAGAAATTAGAATGCATAACATAAAACATAGCATTGCTTATCACAGGCTTAATTAGGGTTTGTGCATTTTATGTTCATACATCTTGGATAGCTCACATTTTCTATTAAAAAAAAACCCTTAAGCTCTGTAAAAAGCTGTGGTGTTTTTGCTTAATAGCTATGCATCTTTGAGAAAAAGGAAGAAAACATGTACGTGAGCTTGCAGATACGGTGTAGCATTAGTAATGTGCATACAATGCTAATGCTAATCGGTGTACAATTAGGAATGCGTATTACACAATACTGCAACCATTTAGAACAATTCTTCATAATTGTGGAAAATGAGTTATATTGTTGCTTTCTATTACTGCTTTTTAATTTTAGAAATAAGAAGTTTTAGTGTACATGTGACATGGATGGTTCTAGGTTCTGAAACTCACATCCCCACGTTTACCAAAACCATTTTTTCTTCGTTTCGGAGGATTGAATTCAGGACCTTGCACTTGCGAGGCAGGCGCAACACCACTGAGCCACATCCCCGCCCCTGTGTTTTTGGGCATTTTCCTGGGGGCGCAGCCCCACTCCTGGCCAGAGGACCTTTGTGAATGTAATACCAGGAACTGTTTGGAAACCCGTCAGCTCCTGTCTCCACCGGGCGGGTTCTGAACAACGGCTTCCTCTCCCTTTGGACACTTGTTTAAGAAAAGGCATCCAAATGCTACCAAAATAAATGTATTTCTAGAGCCTCGGTGACTGTCCGGATGGCAGCCGTGCCTCCCTCGCTGCTGCTGTGTACATTTTGAGCTACTGTGTTTATGAAGGGAAGAGTGGGCGAGGGTTTCAGCAGTCCACGGGCAGCTCACACTCGCGTGTAAAACACAGTTGTCCGTCCCAGCCCCACTCCCGCCTGCTCACACTGAGCCCTGCTCCGGGCGGCCTCGCCGTCCCCGCTGCAGAAGCGGGCGGATCTGGCCACCTGGGTCGGTCCGGCCCCAT